TTAGGCAGAGTAGATTAGGTAGGAAAAACACCTGCTGTTTTTTCCTTTTTTCTGAAACTACAGACTTTGGGATTATGTATGAGTAGAGTGGCAAAGGTGCACTAAGGCTTGGAGAATTCACTACACGTTTTCTGTTCTAATTAATAGCTGCATCTTATTGTCTTTTTATCGTGTTATTCTTTCTATGGAAAATGTCAGAAACATTAAGAATGAAAAACAGACATGAAAAGGAAAAAAACACACAGTTAGAAGCGCCGCATTACATTAAAAAAGCCAAGTCAGGAACTGCTAAATTGGTGGTTGCCTATGCACTCTTAAATCTCTCCCATGTGTCTGTCCTGTGTACAGAATGAGGCAGGGATCCTGTGGGAAACAAGATGAGAGTATGTAATTAAAGACTCTATCATAATGCATATGCATATAACACTACATTGCACACGATGTGTGGTTCATTTTCTTTCTCATCCTGTCCCTGCAGAGAAGATGATAGAGAAAATGAACTACACATGACAGATGTTAGTAACATTAGTTAATGCATTTTTGGAAAGCAATCAGATACTAAAGTTGCATAAGGCATGTTTAGAATAGAATAGAAAGCAAGGAGAAGATACTTCGTTTTTCTAGAGTGCTAAAGAAAATATACAATGTAGAAAAATGAAACCTTAATAATAGTATAGTGAACATGAACCTTTTCTATGGTTATACTTTCACTACTTAAATAATGGATATTAAATTCATGCTATAAAAGATGCATAAACTGCATATTTACATGAAGATTGGAAGAAACTATAACTAAAGAAGGGAGAGATGAAATAAGCTGTACACCTATTAGCCCATATCATCTTATGGAATCTCAATTAAACTCAGTAGTTTATTATGTAGGCGTGATTTTATGTGCTTCAGTTTTATTCTAAAAGTCTAATTTTCATAAGTAGGCTCATCCTTATAACGTAATCTTGTTTGTTTGTTTGTTTGTTTGTTTGTTTTAATTTTGAAAGTTAAACTGAAAGACCAGTCTTTAAGAGGAAAAAAAAAACAAACCCTATTTTACTTGCAGTCTCTATTTAGTTTTTTAATTTTTGGAGCGACTCAAATTTTATCTTCATCTAGATATAAGTTTGAATGTATTCTAAGTATACGTAAATCCAAGTTAAGAAAGAGCATATTCTTGACTTCTATATCAAATTGTTGACATAGCTGCAGTATTAGGTAAGTCCGATGAAGAAATACTTAGCTGTCACTGTCTATATTACATTGATAAACACATCTAGACAGTGGTCTGATCTGTGATTCATCAAGTGTTTAAGTGTATACTCTGTTTAAATAGCAGTGATGATTTAAATATGGTCAGGATTAAGAAGCTAGAAGTTAGTCACACATTTCCAGTGTATGAGCTAAAGCCTATTGAAATGTGATAAAAATGCTCTCAAAGTCTTTGGGTTATGGCTTATGCTGTAGCTGGAAGACAGCTTACAATGAACAGACTTCACAAGGAAGTGAATTGCTCTCACTGGGGATCTGGAATATTTTTCAGGATTTTAACTACTTGTTACTATAGTAAATGATAAATAAGTAAAGGTAAATTAATAGTGGGAAGCTTAGGTGTTAAAAACAAAACAAACCCATACAGTAATTCAGAGTAACTAGTAAGTTTGATATGTTCGTTGTGCAACAATATAAGTTCAGCTTGCAATATTTGACTAGCATATAAACAAATAATTATTATTTAAAGAATAGTCTTGTATTAGGCTTAAAATATTTGATTCCTTCTCGCAGCTATAATTCTCCTCTAAATACAGGACTATTTGGTGCGCTGGTTGTGTACTTTATGGTTTTCCAATGAATTTTAAACACTTGTCTTTTCAGAGCAAAGAATCTAACCACCACACTAGGGAATCCATGCCTGCCAGCCTCTCCATATGTTCCCTACATTCATAAGCCTTCTTGCAGTAATACTTATTTAACAAATGTAAATATAGTTTTGGACTGAGGTTCCCCTCAGATGAGCACACATCAAAGACTACTTCTATCCATCTTTGAACACTGTCTTCAAATTCTTGATTTAAAAGTTACAATAGTGACTGCATAGGATTATAATGCAGGTGCTACCCATGGACAAAAATTTGCACCTTACGCAGTGTGACTAGTAACTTATTCTCTGAGTGAACCTTCTAAGTCAAGCACCAGTTTTTTACTTCTGTTTGTCAAGTAATACTTTGATACCACTGAACATGCGTACGATGAGTGGGATGTAGAACAAAGTATTGTTCATTCTAGTTCAGTCATGGGAATAGTTATCTAGAGGAGCTGCAGGTGTCTCAGTTACACTGGTGGTCAGATACTCATATGGGGTTTCCACTGAAATCACAGGCTATTCTTATGAACAGCTCCTTCTCAGGGTTATTCAGGTAATTCTGGATTGACTCTTAGTAATAAACTTACTTTTAAAGCAAAGAGTTGGTGGCCCGGGGAATTGCAGAGACCTTAAAACTGCATCAGGAAAAGATGTGAGAATGAAACTTCAAAACAGAATAGTAAAACATCTGGAAAATAATAAGAATGGCAAAACCGGTGTGATTACTGACAATAGGAATCAATCTTCAAATTTCTCTGAATGTATTAGTAAAAGAAAAGGGAAGAGAAAATCTGTTGATACAGTATGTTCAGTGTTTTAAAAGGCATCTGACAAGGTCTGTTACCATAAGCTGCTAAAACAGAATAGTCATGGGAAAAGATGCAAATGTTAAGAGGCAAGGAAAAAGAGAAACAAATGACAATTTTGATCAAGAAAAATTATTTGTTGAATACATATTAATAATCAGAAAATGCAGTGATACATGAAAAGCAGCAGTGATAAAATAAGGAAGAACAGATAACACCGAAGGGCGGCACCTTAAGTGCTCGTACAACTCACATGCTTCTAAATGAATCACATCAGCTCAGGAAATGAACCTCAGCATTACTGAAAACAACTGAATGAAGGCTTCACTTCAGCGTGCGTTGGCATTCAAAAAGCAAATGAAATACTGGGAAAAGTGGTAGTGAATAATGTGGAAGTATATAATACAATTACATACAGCATAATTCATATCCTGTATTTTTTTCTTGTGTCTAAAATGTATAGGTAAGATAATTTCTGTGAACTTAGAAAATTAGAGGCAGTTAAAACAGCAGATAGAATAGAAAATATTTGCATGAAAGAGTGGAATGATTCATTTTTGTTTGTTGTTTTTTAAAGGCTTAGTTGTGTATGTAGAAGACTGGCTGATGGTCTCCTTCATAACAAAGAAAAGCAACATTATTTAGAAGTGGGAAGAAGCAATTTAAAAACTGGTGCTCAAAATATTTTTCCCATTTAACACATAATTGCATTGCAGAACTTGCTGTAAAAGTTGTCTCTGAGGCTAAGAAGCACTGAGATTGAAAAACAGACTGAAATTAAAAGGTATAAACAGCTAACAGATTGACATGAGTGCTCTTCAGCACTTAATCCAAATTCTTAAAGTTACTGATGAGGATGCAGGAAATTTACCCTGTGTCTGGTTATTGCAGAGTATTATACTCACCAGATGTTATTCAGACTGCTCATGAAGAAAGCTCAAGTGGTGCAGGACACCTGTGGGCTTGGAAACCAGTGGTGAGCTTCAAAGGGCTGCTGACTAGGGGTGGTAGGAATTACTATTTCCAGCTGAAGATAGAACATCATTGTGGAAAATGAGGTGGCATGTCTTTGGGAAAAGATCTGGGATGCATCAGTTTTCCCAAGAGTACTATCCCTGACTTCAGAGATAACACCATTGCAGAAGAAATGAAGAGTTTGTCATAGCTCTTCATTCCAAACTATCTGCATGATAAAGCACCTATTGAAGTATTTGAAGACTGAATTTATAGATAGAAGTGGCCAAGGTTTGTTTGTTGTTGTTTGTTTTTGTTTTTTTTCCCCTCCCTCTTTTCTCTGAAAAGTATTGCTTCTGTGAAATTGTTCGACTTCAGAATTTTCCTTTGGTAGTAGGTTAGGATCACAGGATACTCTCCAAAGCTTAGGCAATGTGACTAGCTTGGACTGGCTAGCCATTTCATGGAACTGATCATTGAATGGAACTGTCCAGTGGGTGACAGAGGTAAATGCTGTATAATTCATGCTGCGTGTATGGTGAGAACCATGCTGCCTCAGCCTCAAGAACAGAGCGAATAATTTGGCAAGCTCCACCATTAAAGAAAGGCATTGTCCATGGGAAGAAATTAGCACGTGTACAAAATACAGGAAAAGCATAGGCTGCTGCAATCAGCCCTCCAAAGAACTTGAATGCAAGTCCAGAAAAAAAAAAAAAGATATTAAAAAACTTTTTCTCTAATTTTTTATGCTGACAAAATTTAAACTCACAAGTCTTATTCTAAATAATTATGTTTATGGCTAAGCTGAGCAGGGTCTCAGGATTTTGAACTGAGCAGCACGTAAGTGGAAAAATAAATTTGTTTATATAATATGTAAAAATTTTGTAGCATGCAGGAAGCCAAAACAGTTGTCTGTGCTTGAGCATCTTTTGTATTTGGAAATGATCTTTTTGGCTACTTGGGACTCTCAGCAAGGCAAGGTGTATGGATATTCCTTGCCTTGCACTTTTCCTGTTGGGCCACTGCATGCAATGTCACAGAATTCATTAAATGTTCCCAGGCGTATTCAGGAATAGTCATAAATTCTTCAGAGATCCATTTTGATGACAACTGTCTTCGAAGTTTTTGTAAATTATCTGGATGTAGAACTCAAATACGTACTAAGTAATTCTTGTGGATGACTAAATTAGGAGGACCTGTTGACTCTGCTGGAGATGGTGAGCCCTTGCAGACATCTTGGCAAATTTGAGGGTTGAGCAATCACAGCTTGTATGAAGTTTAACATGAACAAGTACACCTTGTGGATACTTCAGCAGTTATGAATCAGAGCACTGGTGTGTCTGGTTCTCTGTTGATTAATTGCCATTTATTCCCTGTGTTGGTAGGTGTAGGCTGGCTTTAACCACTTGATTTTATCTGTGGATCACTGTATGTCAAAAGGATTCTATGAGTATCTCCTTTTTAGAGAGGTATGTTGGTTGGCATATTTTTGGTATGAATTGAAAAAAAAAATTATCTTGGGAAGCAGTGCCATAATACATATGTTCAGAAAGACAGGTGTTTTTCACAATAAGAGCCCCTGTTGTACTCCTTCCCCCTTCTTCCCCCGAGTGTGGCATCATGTGATATGGAATATCCCTTTGGTTTATCAGGGACAGCTGCCTGATGATTTCCCATCACCAACTCTTGCCCAGTATCCTAGCTTTAAGGGGCTTTGAACGAGTCTTAGATCTGTGCCAGAACCCCTCAGTATTCATTTGGTATCAATTCCGTTCTACCTATAAGTGCAGAGGGAAGAACTATATGGGCTACTGTGGAGAAATTTAACTCCGTGCTAGTCAGACCCAGTAAAGTCAAATAACTTGTAATTAACTAAAAATTCAATCCATCTAGAAAGATTTATATTTTCAGATGTTAATCCCATGATGGGACAATATAAGTGTTAATAACATTTCTAACATAGCTGTATCTGCCATAACTGAAGTACTATTTTCCAATCCATGCATAAACTAGTAATATTACTTGGGTAAAATGTGAACAGAATTGCATGAATTGATGCTTTTATCTACAAATTCAGATAGCATGTTAGAATGGATTAATGATGAACATTTCTTTAGAGAAATGGATTGTTTCTTTTTGGAACAAACACTTATTTTAATTTACGTCATTGGATATACTGGCAAAGATCTTTGACAAGTGTGTATAATGTTTACACAAAATGTGTTGAGCATTTTTAACTCTCATAGGACTCAAACTTTTTTTGATATGGTTAGTAGAACCATAGTCATAGTGATCTAGAAAGCATATTTTAAAACACACGTACTTTGCTTTGTTATCTAAAGTAGTATGTTTGCAAGAAAAATACCTGTCCAAACCAAATTTATGCCTTAGATGAATTAAGGAAGAAATTTAAAACAAACAAACAAACAAACAAAAACCACAGCATCTTGGTGGTATGTTACTATTCTGTTGCTCTTGAAATTACCACAGGGAGCTATTCTGAAGCATTCTCTTCTACTCTTTCTTTTCTTTTTTCTTCTTTTTTTTTTTTAAAGTGTTGTCTCCATGTTTAGTTGCTAATGTAAGAATGAATTTTTAAAATCCCATCTTTCAATAGTACTGAATATTTAATAAGTACTAGTAATAGAGAAAGTGTTCTTTTTTTTCCTAAGTGTGAGCAAAATAGTATCAATTTAATATTACTCAAAAAATAATAGATCTTTCTACATGCTAAGTTTAGTTTAGTCATAGTTTAGAAATATTGTTTTGGTAGGTTGAGAAGTAGGTAATTTGGAAGACATAAATTACAGCTGTGTGTCTAACTTTCTCTTTGTATACCCCTAGATCTTTCTAAAACAGATGTTCTTTCCCTCTCAGATTTTCAATGTCTGCTCCTCTTACATCAGAATGAAAAAACCCACAGGCTCAAAAGAGATACTGTAATCGCCTTTTCTAGCTCTCCTTGATTTCACTAGTAGCTGGTAGAGGACATCTGAACACAGGAGGCAGAAATGCAAGAGTAAATTTTGATCCTAAACTGTATCTTTCCTTTTTCATTGACAAATCTTACAATTGCTTCTAGAACATCAGGTTCCTCGGTTGTGTGAGACTGATCAAGATATTGCTTAGAAAAAATTAACTATTTTCAGTAGAAAGCCAGACAGTTTCATTTGATGTTTGACTTAATCCTTTTTCAAATATGTAAATTTTATAGCTTACAATTCTGCTTCAAAGGATTCTGCCTTGCTTTGACTGACATTTATCACGTAGATATGATAGAGAAAAATTATTTATCTTGACAGTAGGCTGATGGCAAAATATCTATGCTACGATTAAGCTCATTTCTAGATTAGTAGGATTGCACCAGCACCTTCTGCAGCTGGTATTTCTATGACGGTTGAAGTTATCTTAGCCTGCATTTCAGTGTTTTGCTTTTTCTCCCAAAGAATGCCTGTAGATTCTGGCTTATGGAACACCATCACAAAAGCAAAAAACAGCAGCAGCATGACTGGAAATGTTTTTTATATAAGAATATTCTGCTATTATTAATTTTAACAGAAATTTGATTTTGAATGTATTCTTGACATTGGCAGAATGGATCAGACTTGAGTTTATCCTTTTATTGCTTAATTCTAAGAACTTTGGATGCCTAAGCGTTGACTTTTTGAATTCAGGCTTCAATTTTTTGTAGTTTTCATTGTGCATGTAATTCAGCAAGTGAAGGAGATTCACTGGAAAAAAAAAAAAAAAAAATGACGAGTTGTGTTGGCTGTTTAGCAAAATAGGTCTGCAAAAGGTAGAGTTTTTAGAGTGGTTTATTTTAACATGTAAAACTTAGGGAAATATTGAGTTTAGAGAGTTGGGTTATAATCTTTAAAGTGGGAAAGCTACAATTAGTAGTTAACGCGCGATCTCTGTTTTCTAAAGAAGTTAAGATTAAAAAAGGAATTAGGATAATTTAACAGGATCATTCTTCAACAACAATTACTAACCTTGTTAGTGTTTTAGGAAAGGACAATTGCTTTTCATCCATATGTTATGAGAAATTTTAAACATTTCACCTGGACAATAAATTTTCCAGTAGCTTGTTTTTTCCAGGGAATTATTCCTTCTGTATCACCTCAAAAAGGAAAAGAAACTTTACATTGACAATGTTTCCATTCTTTATGGATGAAAAATGGCTTGGAGTGAAATAAGGGTTTTAGAGGCCTCTGATGTGACTTAAAGTGGAAGACATTCGGCAGTATAAAATAAGAGTAGGTGAACAATCTAACAAGCAATACCTCAGAGCATTAGAACCCACACAAATCACTATTTCAAAAATATGTTGAAGCATCCATTTAGCAATCAGAAGAATGCTTAATACATAAACCACAGCAAATAGAAATTATTTAATTTTATAAATACAGTACAGCAAATAAATGATGCTTTACTTTCTTATGTTGCAACAGGTTCGAAAGTTCAGCTCTGGTCACTATTCATTTTATCATAGTGTACTGATTATTATACTACTGATATGCTGTTTTAAATATGAAATACTTTTAATGTAGCTACTAAGTACTCCATAAAGAACTCTGGAAAGGAGAACAGAAATAGATTAAAATGGTATTATTTCATTTATATCGTTTATAAACTATATATATAAACTGTGTATAGTTATATATTTACTTGTGTATATATGGTTTCTTGAAGTTCTTCATTGTTCCAATACAAAATTAATATGCAGAGATAAGCATTTTGTGATTTGTGTTTGCAATTAGAAAATATGCACACATTCAATTTAGTAACATTCTGAGAAGTCTGTCTGGATTAATTTGGACTATTTTATGTACTTCAGATAGTCCTCAAATAGACAGTATTTTGCTAACTGGTATTTAAAAAAGAAAGACTTCTGATTTATTACATGCCGATGCATTTCATTCTGTACAACTTTACCCCTATGAGAAGCAGCTATAAAAACTGTTAAAGTGAGTAGAAAAACTTTAATTTGGTAGTATATTACACCTGCACAGGTGGTAATGACTAAAAAAGATGCAAGCAATGAAGAGCTAACCACAGATACTATATATCCAAAAAAATTATCTAATATATCTATCTCCATCACTCTTCACGTCTTGTCTTTTTCTCAGTGGCTCACCAGACGGTAATGTTCTCAGATCAAATATTCTCTATAAACTGGGAGACCACTTAGCTGATTTATGAGGCTTTTAGCTATTACATACTTACCTACTCAATAAAAGTACTTACATCATATGACACACAAGCTGCCTCCACAATCCAAGAATCATTCTTAAAGTGACACATACATCAAATTGTAATGTAATTTCCAGTATCTAATCTATCACTTAAGGGCAAATATCAGGCATTCTGTAGTAGATATTTTTTATTTCTTCATTAATTGTTCTTAGATTTTTCAGACAGTGCTTTTTTACTCTTGTGGCTTTCTCTTACACATAAATATATTCTTTAGTGTTTAAAAAAAAAAAAAAGAGGTGGAAAAGCAGACAGAGATAGGTTGTATAAGTGAGAAGAATACAGAGACTTCAATTTCCTTAGCATGTTCTTATTTTTTTTATTATTTTTTTCTGATTTTGAGGAAAGTATTTATCTTGCTTGGAAAGTACATTGTCTCATTTTTATCAGAACTAGTAACCCTAGATTAATAACTACTAAACCTAGATTGACTGATCATCACAATACAATCAGATATATTTAATTAATAATTATTGTGATGTTTCTGGCTAATGTGATCTATTCAGTGTACATCTCATTGTGTTGGAGGAAGTTCTGCTTATTAAACTAATTATTAAACTAATATTTTAGAGCCTCCATTAAAAAAATGAGCAAATAAAGCTTTTGGGCAGTAGTTAAGCAGCAGTCTAAACTTCCTGTTGTAGCTCACATCTGAAAATACTCTGGATTATTAATTACAATATTGTTATATAATCTTCATTAAAGGTTAGAAATTGAATTGAGAACTTATTCTCAGGAAAACAACCTAGAGAATATGAAGCTAACATCTGTACACATGTATTAGTATCTTTTGGAAATACATATAAATATTTCTTCAGTTCTATAGAAATGTTTGACTTTAGGAGATGTCTTATAATGTTTTAAAACTTCACTTCTACTTAACACCATCAGTTTTCCCTTCAAAGTGGCATAGACACAGTTGAGTTTATTTGTGGAGGGTACAGTAATTATTTGATTAACTTTGGTCCACAACGGCACTGTGACTAGATTTAGTTTCCTTTCTATTGCGAAAACATATAGCTGTGGCTAATGAACGAACTTGAAAAACTTGGGAATAAATGCGTCTAGAATAATTTATTTTCCAACTATTGTATTTCTGAAGCTCATTAATTAAGAGTATGTAGAGCCATGTGATGCAAGTACAGAAACTACAGAGAGGCATCTGCAAAACGGATGAAAGTGAAGGCTTGTAACATCATTAAAATATGTTCCTGTTGATAAGTCAGACCTGGGACAGTCTGCTCAAACATGTATTTCAACAGGGCACTAAGTTCCTGGTTAGCTATCGTTTGTTGATTTTCATGTATGCTTTCACTCGCTACAACTTAAATGTTCTTCTAGCCAAGTTCAGATGGAATGGATAGGTGAAATTTTCTTGATGCTACGTAAAATAGACCTGCTTCAAACTTCTTGTTATTGAGTATGACTACGTAGATGAAGAAAAGAAGCTTCTTATTTCTGTCTCACTCTTCCAGCTCTTCAAAGCCAAGCCCCACCTCTGTCACCTCAAATTGCTGTTGATACTTAAACCCTTGCTTTTAGCTAACCACTTCAGGGCTTCATATCTTACTGGGTTAAGTTTGAAGAAGCTACATTCTTTCTTTTTCTTATGCTATCCTGCCTAGAAGCTTGAGAAGAGTATGAAGGGAGAATTTCGTTAGTGCCTTCTAACAGCACGCCTTTTAAATTCTATTTTATAATGATATCTAAAATTTTTAAGAAAGGTGAAGTTGGAGCTTTTGGGATGATTAAGAGTTAAACTACAGCTACTTCTATTTATTTGTACTTGCTGTCTGTTGTTTATGCCTGGAATTTGAACTTCATGGAGCAGGAATCCTTCTGTCCAATGGGCTCCCTTATTACATCTAGTATGGTTTAGTTTTGACTGTATTTCCCTTACTATGGTAGCAATGGTCATTCAACAAATACCAAGCATCAAACTAAGTAAGTTGCAGAAAATATATTCCTTGGGTAAAAATGTCTGATGGTGATCTTGCATACTATAGCTACAAAAGTTTTAAGTTGTTACGCAAAGATATAAGGACAGATTTATGTCCTGCATTCTCCCTGAAATGAGGACATACATGATGTTTTAATTGAAATAGTGCAGCAAGCAGACAAACAGTAATTTTGTAGTAAGCAATTGATGATCTTGAAACTGAGAAAGTGCTTTTGAGCTCCTTAATCTGCCAAACACATTTCACAAACTGCGATGGGAATGGTATGTACTAGTTTCTCTATTTTCTATTCAGGGAAAAAATATTTTAGTATAATTAATGAATATTATGCACAAAGTTTAATTAAATTCTGAGAAATGAAGTGTATTTTCTTGCAACATTCTTCACTGTATACATTTTTTTTAGGGATTCCAGTCTCCATTAATGATTGTTTTACACATCAGGTGTGTTCTCATTGAAGTTCATAAAAACTGTGTTAATCTTAGTTGTGTGAAATATTACGATAACTTTAAAGGTGACTTTCAAGGTCATATATCTTGACAAAATATTGTAGAAGTGACAAAAATATTTGGCAGTCTGTTTTGTAAAGTAAGAGTTTATTAAGAACCCAATGGTTAATCATGAAGTTAACACATACAATGATTGCCTGCTCTGCCCTCACCTTGTTTCCTATTAATTCAACATCACACCATGACAGTAGAGCAGATTGTCATCACTTCATGGCATTATACATAAAATGTGTTGTTATAAACATTGCATCAAATCAAGATGTAGGACATAAAATTAGACTAACATGTTTGACAAAAAGTGATACCTTATCTTTCTCTGAATTTTGTTCCTCAATTTAAACATCACTAAAGAGATTCTTTGAGAAATCTGTTTGTCGTTATTCAGTGCTGGAAAGGATTCAGATCAGAGAAACAGAACATTCTTGCAAAATCAGGAAGTTGTGATGAGTGTCTTGGAAATCCTCTGAATGCATTGAAGTTGGTACAAAAGAAACAGAACCTTGTGAAATAGAATTAGATGTGCTTTCAGTAAGTAAAAGAGGAATGGGTTACTTTGTTTTCAGGGAAGTTTTACAAGTTCAGGGTAAAGGCCTGAATTAAAACATAAAGCTCCGAGTATCTTTATATCTAAATTCTAATAGAAAAACAAAAACAAACAAACAAACAAAAACCCACCAAAAACAGACAACAATCAGATTTCGATTTTCAAAATGAGTTATTCTGATTCAGTTGAAATCCTTCATCCCCCACTGAGGTTTATTTCTTTAAGATTAAACTGACTAGAATAAATAGAAAATTATTTTGAAATCTGAAGTTAGAACATGTAATTCTAAGGTTGTCCTTTTCAAAACTAGCTTTAAACTCTTTTTTTTTCTTAAAATTACTATTCAGTATACTTTCTGTCATTTTGATTTTCCAAGATGGAAACGTGAAAATTCAAATTGAAATTTGAAGAAAAAAAAAAAAGAGGAAAAAATAAGTATGTAACTAATACTTAAATAATAATACTGCTGTAAAAATCTTCCATAAAGTGGATTAAATTGCCTCTCCAGTATAAAGCATATGCATCCAAAAGAATGATTGTAATAGCAAAACCAGAGCTAGAAGATGATCACAAGTGAAGCACTGTAGCAAGTATTTCTGTGCTTTATTCAAATTTTTTCTAAAATTTCACTGCTTTTGTCATTTCCCATTAAAAACTATTTCATAGCCTATGGAAAAATGGAAAAGTTCTTTCCAATAATCAGCATAAATACACCCCAAGTAAAATTTGTCATCTTTCATATAGCCCTTAAACCCTGCTAATATATTTTTTTTTTTTTCTCTATTCAAACAATCTTTAGAAATGAAAAGATAATTTTTATGTTATCACTTCAATATATTTTTCATCCAGCTTTTCTTTAATTGAGGTCACAGCTTTTATTATTACTTTTCTTTCTTTAGCTTGCACTGCATTTGTTAATATTTTATTTGTTAATATTTTGGAACTCTGATTTGATTAGAACAGAATCTGACGCAGAAAGGGCCATCTTATCAAAACTTTATAGAGATATACACTCACGTTTTTTCCAGATGATCCGATGTCTCTGCTAAATCTTTCCTTTGATCAAAAAAAAGATCAATGTACAGTGTTGCATTACATGAGCTATTTTTCTTGTTACCATAGGGAGAAAAGGCTGACTCGTCATCCCCACTAATAACCAGATGTACATTGACTTCAGTGACTGTACTTGAGCGGATGGGTTGGAAAGTGATGTTACTGTGGGTCAGTGTAACCTCCGTGTACAGTAGCTGTGCAATGAACTCCAGGCTCGCATTCTCCTCAGAAAACATATAGATGGTACTACTAGTTAATTTTAATATTTGGAATTTAGCGGTGCAAATGCAAACTGCTTCAACTTATAGGTATGAAAAAATGGAATAAATGGAAATTGTCTTTTAATAAGGTCTTAAAAAAAGGATTTCTTGTATTTTTTGTAGCACATACAGGGAAATCAATGTGTTGCTTGATTCTCCCTGCAGAACTTAATGAACATGCAGAAAATACTGGATCAACCAAAAAAAATTGCACTGCTGGTTATTTTGTTTGATATTCCTCATAACATCTGTCCTGAACCAAAAGATGCTTCTTGGATTGCAATAGCCGAGCACTGTCCTAATTAGTGAGTGCTGATCTTTCTTCTCAGCCCTCCCACTGCTCTGTCCTATTGACCCATATTTTGAATGTTAGCAGTCCTAACAAATCTTACTCTTGTTCTGACCAACAGCTGGTGTGATGACCTGGAACTTTGCACAGCCATTTTGCTTTGGAGTCTGAAATAGCTATAAAAGCTGGGGCAGCAACCCTTGACACAGTCATTGAATTGTTCCTGAAACTGCTGTGAGATTCAGACTGGCATTTTTCTCTCACATGCCTTCTACCTTTCATCAGGTCTGTGTCAGACATGTAGTGACAATTGTTTTTCCTGCCTAGTTATATTTTTCTTTCCAATTTAAGATCATAAATTAACATTTCTGCCCAAGTTACTTGTCCAGACAGTACTGGCTGCAATACTTTTGCTAGAGAGATTGCACAGCTCCTCCAATTCTTGGTTACAACAGGGGAGTAAATGCTTCCTTAGTATTTTTTAGTGTGCACTAGGACTAAATCCTTTGTAAAGAGCTAATACAATTCTGATAAATCAGAGAAGAATCAATTCTGATGAAATGATTATTTGCATTATGTCTTCCTTTCTTATGTCTTTTTTACTTCCATTTATATACTATTATTGGTCTTATCACATAGCCTTTTGGATTACAGAAACAGACTGAGAATTCATGTGCAGTGAAGACAGGAGTCATTTATGCAGGTTATTCTGGCAGGTTGTTAGCTAAGTCTCACTGAGGAATGCCTGTGAGGAACAGTTGACACGCTAGAGGGAAGGGATGCTATCCGGAGGGACCTGGACAGGTTTGAGAGGTGGGTCCCTGCCAACCTCATGGAGTCTGACACTGCCAAGAGCAAGGTCCTGCATCTGGCTTGTGGCAATCTCAATCACAGATACAGGCTGGGCAGAGAATGTCTTGATAGCAGCCTTGAGGAGAAGGGTTTGGGAGTGCCAAATGATGAAAATTAAAAATGAACCAGCAACGTGTGCTCGCAGCCCAGAAGGCCAATTGTATCCTGAGTTGCATCAAGAGAAGTGTGACCAGCAGGTCGAGGGAGGTGATTCTATTCCTCTGCTCTGCTCTTGTGAGTCCCCAAATGAAGTACTGTGTCCAGTTCTGGGACCTCAAGCAAGAAGGATATGGTGCCCATAAAGACTAGCCAGCTTTGCTGCATTCCTTTGACTGTAAGGGCAGTTTCCCAGGAGAGGAACAACATTTTAAATAGTCTGAATTTCAGTCTCCTGAAGTTCGATGTCTTGACCTCCTATACATAGCATAGCCTATCCAATATGAGTTAAACAAGAGAACTGGAAAAGTAGTGACACCTATTCTAAACATACACTTACTTTTTAATCCCTGTAATCAAATACATAATAATAAATCCTTGTTTAAAAAGGCCTCTAACAACTGGAAAGCTGAGAGTTAGAGGATGAGGGAAGATATTTTGACAAAGAACTGTATAGAGAAGGGGCAGTAGAATGTGTCTGTGAACAAATCTGAAATAGCACTACAAAAAGGAAGGAGCAGCTTGGGATATAGTGCAGTAAGCAAACAAAGCACAAGACGCGCATACAGCCACGCAAAAATCCCAAGCAACAACAAAAAAAAAACTCCAAATGAAACAAAATCAGCTTCTTTTGTTTCTTTTCCTGAGTCAGGAAAAGAGGGCTAGATAGATAAATGCTCATTATCAATGAATGGAATTATATAAAGATTCTGATTTTTTTTTATTTTTTTTTTAGTTGGTGAAAAGAAAACGCACAACTCTGAATTTCTGTAAGCTGTTTGGGTAAAAAAGCAGTAATATTGCCCTAACACAGTAGCTTGTCTGTCCACACTTTCCCTACAGAGCCTCTAAATTTTTTCAGGTGAAACTTAAATGTTTACAGACTTATTAGTTTTTCTCCTAAACCTTTTCATTTTCTGGATGGTATCCAGGAAGATTATCAAAGAGACTTAAGAGTTACATTAACATTCCCCCATGCATTCTTGTGAGGAGTGGCCCTTGCAAGGCAGTTCAATAAACAGATAAATCAAGGGAAGACATTCATAGACATATCAACGGTGGGATATTTAATGTAAGTTACAACTTCCTTTCTTCACACTAGCAAGCTTTATATAGTATTTGATTCTTCTGCTGCAAAATTATACTTTAATTTTTAAAGAATGACTCTAGACAAATAAAAAAAATTGGCAATATACCATTCCAATAATTTATTTTTAAATTGATTTCACAGTTACAGAGTTAGCTGTTTTGTATTTTAATAAGCATACCATTCAAGTTAAAAAGAGTTGTATGGAACTAAATTTGGTTTTGAACAAGAAAATTCAAATGACAAAAATTGGCTAGGTTGCTGCTTGTTTTTTGTTCATCTCACCTTTACAAAGTGACCATATGTTATATCTTCATTTCTTGGCAACTGTAAGGGTTACATGCAGATACAGTCCTTCTGTTGATACTCTCTTTTTCATTGTAGTGCTTCTGTCTAGAGGCGTCATTTTGTGAACAGCTGTAATGGTGTTATTAAAAGCAATACATATATTTTAAAACAAAATAGTAGACATATGTGCCTACTGTCAATGCAAGCAAGTCTATCTAAATGTCATGTCGAGTGTTGTAATGGCTGTAAAACAAAGCTGCTTTCTCCCATTTGCATTTCTAAAATCAATTTTGTGCTGGCTTACAATCTGTCTGCTTAAGAAAAATTATTCTGGGAGATGCTCAGGTATGAACTTGGCACACAGCTATGGATCCAGAACTTGTTTCTTCACTGTCTTGCTCCCTTTTTAACCTTTTACCCCTGTGGAAAATAGGTACAAAGCACAACTGCTCATTTTCAGTAATATGGCATATTCATTTTTCATAAGTGATGACATAAGATGCAACTAATTTAAGTTACAAAGACTGATTGTATTTGATGTTTTTTTTATTAAAACTGTTTGGCTGTTCTAGCACTAACTTTAAATAAGCCCTCCTGATAATCTGTGACTGTGAAATTTCCCACAGTAAGGGTCAAATGCAATATGGCTATGATCTCTTGAAATTAATATTAAAGCCTGCAAAATGCCATTGGTTTTCAGATCAGTTTGCAGTTTTGAATATTCTTGTTTATTACTGTCTGAAAGATCTTTGACTAGAAAAACGTTTTGCAAACATGCAAAATATGTGATTTATAATCTTACATTTTTGGACAAATCATTATATGCAATTATGGAATTATAATAGGCACGCAATAGTATTTACATTTTATCCTGCCTGTCAAAGTAATAAAACCAAATGTTAGTTATATGTGTAAATTCAAATTCATTGTTGCTAGGTTAGACTGTGAACATCTGGATTATAGATTCATAAACAATACTGTATGGAAATAAAAGCATCATTTTGTAGACTTTCTTTCTGATTACTATTACTCTAGTATCTCCAAAAATGAATGGGAGTTGCAGAACAGATTTTTGAGTAATTTCATATAATTCTGCAGTTAATAAACAAAATCTGAGGATTGCCAAAAGAAAGCTTCCTTCTTGCAGAAGTTCTGACAAAGCTGTTTTGTTTTGTTTTGTTTTGTTTTTTTACATTCCCTCAGAAAAGACTGCCAAGTTCAAATTTGCAGCTGGAACAGTCTGGCTTCCTTACAGGCAAATCTAAGTAAAATCTTATGATGAGTATTTCTAGACTAAAACAATCTACCTTTGAGAACTCTCAAGAATGCATTGATTTCTGTATTACAGTATTCTTAGTGATGATGTATTAAATAAAGCTATGGATGACAATATTCTCAAAGAGAGTACACTGGAAGAAAATCCAGATATATTAAGACACCACAATCCTTCTGCTTTTGCCCTTTTAAAATTCTCAGACAAGTTAATAGCATTTATTTTTTCCTTTATGTTAAGTTTATTAGATTCCCTTCCATGTATAAATCTGGCATATCAAACCACAATTTGCATTGTCAGCTCCTATGAGTGAAATCTATTACAGTTACAGAGCTGTCCTGCTTTTGCCTTTGTAGCAACTTTCAGACCACAATAACCATCATCAGTTTAAAGCAAGCAGATCCATTACATTTCCTCTGTTCCTACAACCCCACATTAAGCTAATATTATCTATTTCCCAAGTGAAAAAAAGCCCTTCCAGTCCTATCAATTATTAATTCCTTGCTTGCAGCTAATGTTTTGTTTGAATTATTTAAACACATCTTCATTTATCAATAAACATAAAATGTTAAACAAAGAATACTGATGAAGGGCATTATTTAAACCATAACATTTTATGAGATTATTTCAAGCGCCTTTTTTGATTTATTAGGACAATATTTTTATAATTGTTTTTCCATTTCTAAAAAGAAAACAAAACAAGAAACGCCATGTTTCTGGGTATCATCAAGAGATTTGGACTCTTACTGTGTGCTTTCAGGAATGTTACATTTTGGTTTGCTTTTTCAGAAAGAATTTATAATGCAACATATACTAAATTCCCAATCCATTTGCTGAGAAAATTCAAGACATAGTTAAGATATAAGATGCCTGTGATTTATTGTTAGAATAACAGTTACTGAAGTTCACTTCAGTCTCCATTTCTTTTTTTCTATTTTCAGCCCTTGTATCAGAAGCTGACTTGAACAGCAGAGCTATTGGCAAAAGACTTAAAATTACAAGGGTTGCAGTAAAATAAAGCAGTGGCTCATCCATTTTATTACCTTCATATGCCTATTTTAAAAGAATAAGGGGAATAAAATCAATATTTTTGTATTGATTAGTTAATTCAAATTAATTCTGTCAATTTAAATAACCACTGATGAATGTGGAACATTTTTAAAAATGCTGTTTTTTTCTTGGTTGGTCATAAAATACGTTAGAACAATTTTAAGTTAATAACACGAGCATATAAAAGTAATATTACTTGAAATTTCTTAAGAATACTTGAGACTACAAATTTTACCCCATGTTCACTGTGAGGTGTGTATTTTCATGTTGCTACAAAACTTGGAAGAATCTTGTTGAAAACTGCAGTTGAATCATGACCTTCAGACAAAGCCCTTCATGATCACATACCCTTTTTAAAATAAAAGTAACCTTGACAGACTTCTCTATAATAGAGAATGACTGTATTGCTTTGACGATCCAGATTATAGTATATATACATTATGCCCATAGTCTTAACACAAATATTTATCTCTTTAGTTTATCCATTGAAAAACAATCCTTAGAAATAATTACTTAAGATCATTTTAATATCATTTTATTATTTCATCAATTTTAAGAACTCAGGAAAGGCTTCAACAACCATCAAGGTCCTTTTCAAAAATATGCTTTCCAGAGGATTATTAGTCACCTAGCAAGACAGACAAAAGACAAATTTGGGAAGCTTTGACTGCTCAATTTTATGATAGGCAGCTAGTGTACTCACTGAATAGTTTCACTGATTAAATGTGTAGTGAAAGAATTTCTTGTGACAATAGGCTGCATGGTTTGATACAAATACTGTCAGCATCTCCAAACTGTATTCATTATTTTCATTATTTTTAACCTTGTGAGTATGTGGAACAGTTGTTTCCCCCTCATTCTCCCACTGTGAGCTATAAATTGCTGAACCTTTGTGCATATAATTGGATTTTAAAGAGTAGAAAGACATCTGAAGGCCTGAGAAATGCTTCTGAAGTACAGGAGGATAGAGAGAATTTCTAAAAGATTTCAAAAATGCAGTAATTTTCCTTCCCGATTACTAAAGCAAACCAAAGTGCATTGCTGATGTTTTTCAGGAGCAACAGTTTGTCAGGAACAATGTTGGAAGTTCAAAAATACTTTATGTTAGTTTTATTTGAAAATATTTCCATTTAAGGCTTTTAGC